CCAAGGAAGTTGTGTGCAGTCAAAATAGGCTGAAAGTAAAGCGTTACATATGAACCGTGCTAGCTTCCGGGCTTTCAGAGTCGCCGTGGAGTAGTGGTAGTGCTCTCGCTCTCCAGCCGGGAGGTCGTGCATTCTCTTTCCGTTGGAGTGCAATTTCGAGAGCACTACCACTACTCCATGGCGACTTTGAATGCCCGGACGGTACCACGTTCATATGTAACGCTTCATTTCCAGCCAACTTTGACTGCTCACAACTTCCTTGGCAGGTTCATTTTGCAGTTTTAGTTTCCATATTTGTAATCAGCGTTTGAAGCTCTATCGATATATCTGGGTCTCAATTCAAAGTTCCATGGGAAGCTGAATGCCTTTCCTGATTAGTGGTCACGGGAACTCATAGGACCAAGTCCACTTAACCCTTACACCCTTCCGCTTCGACTGTTTTCTGCCGATTGGGTTAAAGCCGACTGCCGGCATTGAACTCCATGCTTGTTGTTTTGAGTCCTGCTTAGTTTCTGCGCCTTTGCGACTTATGGATAACTAGGAGACGTATCAATAATAAACGAGTTCTGTCTTTACTGGATTTTGGCTTTTGTTTTGACTCCCTCACAGTCTCTTCGAGTCATTCACCTGCATAGGTCACTGAGCGAACAAAACGGACACGTCATAGCAGAACGGTGCGGCTGGAGAGGGTCGCGGAGCGACGATGACCATTTGAATGTCTCACTTTCGTTTTATGACTCTTTCATGTGACGAGTTCACTGATCCACTTCCCACTGTTGGTGGTTGAAAGTGCTGTCCCTGCACGCTCCGATGGATCGTACAACCTCTAGTTGGATTTTTCAACTGTGCCTTCAGATATCGTTTTCACCTTATGAGTCGCATATCTAGGGTTTTCTTCCCATGTGAACCTATCTAGTAACGTATTTATGCTGAGATCAGAGCAGCGTTTCCTACGATTTTTGTAGCTCAGACTTCAGACTTGGCAATTTTTGACCTTCTGGGGCTCCACAAACGCAATGCCTATAGTTGTAATATAGAATAGTAACCAGTTTCTTACCAGCTATTACTAATGTTATAGTTATTTCAGAGCTGTGCATGTTGATCGATGCCCTTTATCCGTTAGTATTTATGAGAAATCGATTGCAGAGATTGTCGAGATCAGCGTTGCCGGCTCTGCAACTGCGTAACGTCTTCCGTCCCGAGGATCCCATGCAAACGTCGATCGCTTCGGAGCAATTTATGGAAGGATCCACGGTGAGCATTACGGACTCTCTTTCATTTTTTGTACTTTTTTCTTTATTTTTCATTTCTTCATCTTTTCTACACCTTCTCACCGTAAGTCACTTCTTTTGTTTTATGTACTGTGGTTGAATGTGAAGTTCGTTCAGTAGAGGCACTAGTCTTCTTTTGCTACCTTGCAATATTATCGCGACCTTAGGTCGCCATGGCCTCATCGTGAACTCATTTTACGGGTAGCTATAGGCAAACCACATTTATAAAAGTATTTTCAGAAATACTGCGCATAAAAGCAAAGGAGGGTGAAACTCCAGTTCGGGGGCACTCCATTGCTATCTTATCCGTAGTACTAGAGAGCAGTTCTCTTTGGGCTATCGAACACTATGGATAAGATAATAAGTGAACGACTCATTTCGAGCGTACTTTTGATAAGGACCGGTGGATGTCCTACATTCCACACTACCTGCCCACATCCCATCCACTTTTCTGCACAGGTGATCCACCCTGGAGCTCCTGCACCCTTAGCCCTTTGCGGAGGTGTCCATTCTCCTGGTCCAGGACCGTTCCCTTGGACCATGGCAGGCGGAAATGTGAAAATCTCAGGGTTTCTTCCACATTACACCGATACTTATCAGAAGTCTACTTTAAATGAGTCTACGTGTCGTGAGCCCTCTAATCCTTATCTTGAGTATTGGAGAAAAATGGAGTGCCCCCCCCCCGAACTGGAGTTTCACCGCAAAGGAGTGTCCCGCAGAAGGATCGCTCCCACGAGCACTTTCCCAAGAGTCAACACTATTACCGCAGCGCTTTCTAACTTTATCAAGGAAATCGTCTAGCAGATATGAAAAGTAGTTTCAATCAGCATTTGAAGGCGCGCGTAGGAATACACATTTTATCACGACTAGCCATGGAGACCTGAAGGGCTTCCCCCGTTAATTTGGTACTTTTTGAATATTTGATTAGTAAGATTTCATCTATTACGTTCAGAATTTTTTACTAACACAAGAACTCTAATATGTAAGTAACTTGTTAGACGTTCGAGAGCTTTCAATTATTTATGCTAATGACGAAGCCTATAATGTAAGCTGCATAATGAATTCACTACTACCCATCTTCACTATGACATTAGGTTCAATACGGGACCGGCGATTTGTAGTGGTAGAAGAACCATAGCGCTCCAGCGACCTCTCGAACAATCGGATTCTGGCACGTCTCACGATGTCTAATATTATCATGAGCATTATCTCCGGAGTGAGAGTGGAGAACAAAAGTTCGGATCGAATGGCTGGCTTCCTCAAATTCCTTGTACTCAAAATCTTGACGTTGACAGGTGGAGGCAGTCGGTCCTATCGTTGTACTTTCTAAATTTTTACGACCCCCCTCCCCCAAGGTGGACTTGGTACGACCCCCTTTTCGACCCTCGACCACCATATTCCTCTCTATAGTATTTAATTCTGGTACCACTCAACCCACCAAACTCCGCCCACTTTTTCCTCCAAAAATGCCGTCGAGCGGGGGGGGGGTATATACCCACTATGAAACAGTAAAAATTTACCAAAATTCCCTAAATTTCAACCAATTTACCCCACTTCTACCTATACCACTGCTTCATCTGCCCAAACTCTCCTCAGCCTACTACTCGTGAAACTCGGTTCCACACACACAAAAACTGGAAGCGGAACGACCCCCTCCAACAAACCAGTAGCGACCCCCCCGTGGAGCTTGTAAACAACGTAGGTTACGACCTGGGGAGGTCGACTTGTGTCATAATGAGACGAAGCAAGATCACGTAATTTCTATTTTTGCTGTTGTCAAGCTTTTGTGCCCATTGTATCAAGAATTCCTCAAAAAGCATTGGAAGATTTGTGTGTTCTCTTTTTGTTTTGTTACGATGGCGCGCTATCGCTGGGTGCACGCGATCACAAGGAAACATCAGCAAACACGCATTGTTGCATGGGATTCAAAATATCACTGATAAGGATTCAGTGCCCCTTGCAAAAAAGCTGATATGCTCCTATGTGTATTCAAAAAGGTGCTCAAGCCCCCCCCCCTCCCAGTAATCGTATGAGCTTCCGCTCTTCCACAGAAAAATTCCGTCCACATTGAACGGATGTGGTTGCCCATGGTTGTGCTTATAGACTGCGTTTCATAAATAATAGGCTCCACCCTAACATTTTTGCCCATTTCAAACAGAGCTGCTGCATTTTTGGAAATCGCTTGACCACTAAAGATTTCCTTAACCTTAAAAATCATATGTTAAATTTTCGGCGAAAATTCCGCAGCGCCAAATTACCTAAATAACACTTTTCAGAAAACGAATTCAACCGTTCGAAATATAGGGCCATTCAGCCGAAAGTTCCCATTTCTCATTATCCATATGCGAAAGAGGGGAGCGGAGTAACCCGGATTTGGGGGGTCTAGTTGCGCGTGCGAAAATTCGAAGGAGTCAAATAAATCGGAAATTCGTCAGGAATTGCCAAAGACCCTTCCGCCATGGTGTTCCAAAGTGTGTGGGGGCCGGATTGGCGGAGGTCGTTATGAGCTTCTAGAGATTGAACTTCCCAAATGCCTACCAACGCCATGGTTGACCCTGACAGGGACCCGTTTTGTTGCAGTTGAAATATCGGAGGAAAATGTTCAGGCCCGCGTGAATTATCACGGTTTCGATCCCTGGACTGTAAGCAGCGTCACTCACACTACACGCTCCTCCACATTTCCTCGTCTAATCGAAATAGCGCAATAACAGAACACTTACCACAAAACCTTGCCTTAGAACCAGTCGTCTGTTCTTAACTTTGTTGTAACGCATTACAGATGGGCCTTATTGCGCTCATCTTCGCAATATTACTGCTTCTTCGTTTATGACCAATAATCCATCGATATTTCTTTCAATAGTAATAAGTACTTATGTTGTTTTTTGCTGCTTAAATCTGGGAAAATATTTTTGGAACGTGGAAAGTGCCAAATGATCCACATAAAACGATTCTATCCGTGTGATCGCGTGATCCACCATGTGATGCACGCCGTCCGCAGTGGATCAGTTATTTAATGAAATTATTCTTAGTTTTCACAATTCTATGGGAATCATCTCAATAACCATGTAACCATATTCTCGGTGCTTTCAGTTCTCCAATGCCTCATGGGGAGATGGTGACGCTATGGTGTGCTCTCATGCGACCTACATTGTTCCTCCTGGCGTGAGTGCTCATTATTTGCGTGCGCCTTCTGAGTTCATTATTTTGTTTATTTCCGTATTTTTATTTGTTTACATCTGTCCTTACTTTGCCAATTTTCAGCGCAGTGCACTCGACGAGGTCGAAGATTGCGATTTGATGAGCATCCCTGCTCCGAAGTCTATTCTCAGCTATAGGGAAAGAGAGCCAGAGGAGGAAGTAACGTGTGAGTAACCAGAGACATGTTCAATAGCACTTTGGTCGCGCATAACCGGTGGGCTTCAGTGGAATGTACTAGGACGACTGCGGTTTTAATTTTCGGCTCCGCCCACACTGACGCATGCCCCGCCCACCGTATGTATTTTACCTGGGATGCGAGATTCGATTTTTCTTTCATTTCTAACGCGGTCTATTGATCGAACCACACCCTATGGCAACGTTCTAAAGTTAAGCAAGTGCGGGTAATTCAGCTTAGATGGTCCGTTGTAGAGATTCTTTTGACCTGCGCATTCCTCGTTTGATCACCTCATTTTCGCTGTTCCGTAATTGTGTAGAAGGTAAAAGGGGTTGGCAGATTTGTGCGACACTTTTCATATGCTGAGCCCCCTACTCAAATTATGTCTTGGGTTAATCATTCCCAAGTTGTACTTATTTCTCATTGCTTAATGATTTCAGTAGGCACGTCTGTGGTTCTGGACGAGTCTCGCGTCGGCGTCGAGAATCTTCCGGTTGTAGAAAGACGATGACGACGTCGACGAAGACGACCTTCAGACGCCTCTCGTTGAAGTCCCGCAATGGCATCCAATGAGCAGCTTTGCACCGCCTCCTTCCATAATCGAATCGATGGGATCACCGTCGGCAGACGGATCGTCACAAGACACAGCTCGCGACAAGCCTGGTAATGTTGAGTATCTTTCGTGTTGCTTTATTTCTTTATATAAGTTTTCACCAAGTTTCGACTTTTGGTTATACTGCTCTAACGCATCTCCTCGAAACTTATAAGCTTTTAGTCCGCATTTCTAAAATGAAATATTTGAAAGGTGCTCAGATTCCCTTCGATCATATCTGGAGCAACCAAATAGGTGATATAACTTGACCTAAATGTGCAAAAGATGAATCCCATTGAGCTGCTTGTTATTTCAGCGCATTATTTCCCTGGCAAATTTTGGCCACGCCCATTTTCATTCGCCCATCGCATTCATGCATTAATCACATTTCAAATCGAATTTTAAACACGCACATGGTTCGGCCTAAATATTATACTACATACTCTACTAATAGAGCCAGGAGTGGGTCTTATTACGAAATGTTATTCGACTTGTTCATTTTCATAAATTTTTTGACTATCTTAATTTTAAAGATTCACCAATAACCCCCAACGCAGTTCCCACACAGAGTGGTTTCTCACATGGTGTTGCGGAATAGCGCCCAATATACCTACCTAATAAGGATTTTTCATAATAGATGACGTATTTTCGCCTCGTTTTGTCGTGATGACGTATTTTCTCGAGAAAAAACCATAATGTCACTTTTCGGGATATACCTCGTAATACACTCCGAACCCCTCAAAATTTCTACACAATATTTTCGTGAATAATTCGGCTGATATCGATATGTTGAACGCTCCTAATGGAGAGCCCTCATATGCGCTATATCGCCGCCCTACGCTTTGAGCCTCCTGCTGCTCTTTTTTCCAACCGGACCAGCAAAAGGCTCAACGGTCCCACGGCTTCCTCTTATAAATACCATCTGTCACCACTCATTCATCGAGAGCTCTTCCTTTTTGATTATTTCAGTTGCCGTCATGGTTGAAAATACACCTTTCTGATTTCTCTTTTTTTTTCCTATTTCTCTGTTGAAAATTTTCCGCTTCATGTGATCTACTTCACTATTCCAACGAACTGATGTACAGTTTGTGTATCGGACATTTTAATGGCCATAAAAGATGTACTATATATTATGATCGGGACCTATTTGGGTTATGCGAGTATCTCGTCCACAATTCTTTGTTGCAACCGTAATAGATGGAGAACATGAAACCAGTAGCTTGGTTGGTGTTGGCCTGTTCCTGTATGACTCAACAAGCATGCGAGTAACATTTGAATTCTGGAGGCAAGCCTGACTTGAGGCGTATTTCTGGGACGTCTTTCTATGCTTCTATTTCCATCTTATCTTCCAGGAATGTATAATAAAACCAAAAAGGGCGAAAACGGTGAAATCCCGGGTTAAACTTATCGCTAATCAAGCTTTCCATTATACTTGAATTGCAGTTAGGTGATATCACTCCTCTGGGATTATGCAAGCATTGAGTTGAACATATACTCTATTTCGGAAGACGAGAAGAAATCGAGTGCAGACCACACACCATAAGAGACGACGGCCAAGAGAAAGCGCTTTTTTCTTGGCCGTCGTCTCTTATGGTGTGTGGTCTGCACTCGATTTTCTTCTCGTCTTCCGAAATCGAGGGTATGTTGGCCCACACGTTTAGTTCAAATCGCATTCAGATGCTACTACGATTTTGTATGCAAGTGGTATACGTGGCGCATCCTAAAAAGAGATTGGTCGCGGCCGAGCGCTTCAACCGTTTATGCAAACCTTTCAACGGCTCAAAATCAAAAATGAATCATATTTATTATACGTACTGACTGCAATAGAAGGTATAGTAACTTATACTAACTGCATTCGGAAAATGGTTTTCCATAATGGGCATTTGGGGGCACGGCGGAAGTTTGAAATTGAATTTGCCCTTTGGGTACGGCAATGTTTTCCTACCCAATCACAGTTTTTGCATGCCCTGAAAGTACGTTTTCGATGTTTTCAGCGTCTTTGCGCGCAAATTCGAGGCAATCGGACGACACCGGCTATAACGACGAAAGTGATGCCAGTCGCCTGGAACACGATGACGTAAGCCTTTTCCTTGTGGATATTCTGGAACGATTTTGGAAATTGAAAAAAAGCACATGAAGAAAATTTAGAGGGGGTTTCAAATTGACTTAACTGTGATCGAAACATTCGGACCACAGGCAGCGATAATGTTTGCTAATGCCAAGCCTAGTTTTTGCCACAACCTCGAACTGCTATCTTATTTTCTTTCGCTGTCTTTTTGTCGAGCCTGTAATTGATTTGAAGCTGGCGTGAAAATTATGTTTGTGCTACCTGTTTGACTTATTATTAAAGCTGGAGGAGAAGTGGCCGTAAATGGTCGGCCTTTGATCGTCGTTTTTTCGGCTTATCGGCTTATTTAGTTACCTTGATTCGTTGGTTCTTTTTTTTCTGCTGGTTCTTTGAATGGTGTCTATGAAAATAGGGGAGCTTCTTTGTCCCTTGACGTTCTTGACTTCGAATAATTTATTGTTTTCTTTCATTCCTCATTTCTGTGACGAGGTTGTTAGACGGATAATTTATTTGTTTTGGCTTTTTCGTCATTTTTAAAGGCACACATATGGCTCGAAACCTAAAGACACGTCCTAAACCTGGTGATGAATTATTTGTCTTTGGGAATGAAAATAAAGTCGATTATTTGGCGTCGGCCTTCGTAAGGGGAGGCATCGGGCTACTGGCATAAATGGCAAAAGCACAATTCCAGGGGATCAGTTACACAGGTTGATTGTTTTTAATCAGTTCTCCTCCATTGGTCTGCTCCGCGTTGAAGCGGGGGGGGTGCATGGCTGCAGTTAAAGTGTTACGGTTGAAGTTGAATCACTTCATATGTCCGTTGTAGATATGTTTAAGGTCGTTAGCAGTCATCCGAGGCTCCTTATACTATCGATCCTAGTCACATTTAAGCCATCTTTGATCTTGGAAGTGTTCACTCAAACTTTCTAGCCTTTTGAGGCCATCGGTCTGTGCTGTCAATATTGACTGCACCATACGTAAGGGGCACCCTCCTTGCGTTTTTGGCGTTGACTCGAGGCAATGGCTCAAAAACCCTGAGAATATGCCTAGCTCATGGTCTATTTTTAATTGAGATTTAAAAATATTTCGGTAAGTTTTCTTGCCCGTCTCAGTTTGCTCTGTGGGTGTTCATCATTCTGTTTTGCCGTCGCTAGTGACAAGCCGAATTGGTGCAAATCTCTGGGGTCCGAGCCGGGCGCGAGAGAGAGTGGATATGTTGAGATGGGCAACGCAGCTGCTGTTGCTTTTTTTCCGAGCCTCTGTACTTCTTCTAGCGAATATTTTTTCTTCAGACAAGGCGTTTTTCTTTTCGTCTTCGTTTTTTTCCTTTTTCGTTCTGCTCACTCTTTTTTTTTTACTTTTTTTTATACATATTACATTTCGGAGCTTTCTTTCTGATGCCTTCGGCTTTCGGGCAGCCTTAGGGTTTTTCGAAAGAAATTATAATGTATAGTTGTTTTTTTCGCGCGCATTTTGAGTATCTTGAAAGCATAACTCTCAAAACTCACCAAAATTAGAACGGAAAGTCCCTCAATTTTAGTTTCGCTTGAAGCCAGTTAGTATCTCTGTAAGCTGCTTAGGCCCTCCGGATGGTTAATCACGGCTGATGCAAACACTCCACTTTTTACTTGGGTGGAGCGGGTGGGAGATTCGTTTCTTCTAGTGTCTTCCCCATCACACACAGGAAGACAAGTTGGGTCTAGTCCAGGGTTTACTGAACTCCTCTCACGCCCACCTTGGTCCTGCTGTATACTGAGAGTTGCTGAACTCTGTCCCAGGTCAAACCCCTGTGTCCATTGCTTTTTTGGGGCGGGTTGCGTATGGTGGAGATCTAAAAATTGGGATTTCAGGGAAACTTGGATTCCAAATTGAAAGACTAAAGATTTCCATGCTAAGAATGAAAATAATTTGGCAGTAAATGTCGGTTTTCGTAGCAGTTTTCCCAGGAAATGGCTTCCAGTGGGAAACAAAGTTAATCAAAACATGCTTGAGGTAGTTTTTTTAGATGAAATAAATCAATTGTCAGGAACAGTTGTCGCTTCTTTCGCGGATCTTCAAAATTCATATCCACCATTCTTCCTCTCAATGCTTTTTTTTTCGAGGTGAATGGCAGGCACCAGCGGTTGTGACAGCTGTCGTTGAGATTTTTCTCTTACCGCGTCGTTAGCCATAAAATATCATTGACGACTGTTGTAAAATCAGCGAAACGCATGTGGTCAGTGCACCTTGAACAGGAACAATTATCCGTTTTGTGGTTAAGGAGGGGTGCTTGAAGGTGTCAGCGATTTTTATCGGTAGTCGTGACACTGGAATAGGTAGCACATAACAATATCAAAGATGACATTCAATGAATAGATTGAGTTCCATGGAGGGGCGGGTCAGGGTGTAGGTGTAGGGGGTGGGATCAGATGGTGGACGAGATGTAGCGGTGGAGCGGTGCAGTGGGGGGATGTAATGAATGAAATTTTAAATAAGTAAGAACAAAAGTGTGAATTGAATTCCTTTCTGTAGTAGTTGTATTCTCTGAATGGGGTCAAATCATGTCAAATTTGAGAACGGGTGTACTAGAGTTGGGGTAAATTCTTTTATCTCGTCTCATAAGTCCCTCCTCCTCAAAAGCCCCCCCCCTTTTAGCAGTGTGACCGAAACGAGAGAAAATGTTCCACTTTCACGTCTATCTGGTTAGCTGACGAGATTTGAGAGCCTTACCCTCCAGAGACAACATTTGAATTTGACGCTTTCAAAAGGTTCTTCAGGTTAATTCGATAACATCACCATCCCAGTAGTTGAGACATTCCAAGATGGCCTATGTGCTGTGCTTATCAATGTATCCTGAAGAGGTTCAGATGAT